TGCCCGGTTCCAGAAAGATTTCAACAATTCATTCCACACATTGACTACACTATCGATGAGGATCATGAAAAATTTGATGAAACCAAATCACAGTTCAACAATTACTTCATCACTGTCATCAAGAACTTTGGAGGACATCTTTTCATGAATTGCGAGGCTGGTTCGTTGTATCCTCACAGAGAAAGACTCGACGAGGTTGACTTTAAAACTTGCTTCAATGACTATCATGACTTGATGGTGGCAGCTCGCCTTGGAAAGGATGGCTATATCAAGCAAATTGCTGGATATCACACAGATGACAACGACACACGAGTTCGACAAGTCTCATGGGCAATCTTTGAAGTATCTTGGGGAAAGACAAAGGATCGAGATACAGATGAGATTGTTGACTTGACAAGAGCTAGGATGAGAATGACACGTGTGTGCGTTTATCACGTCGGACAGGAGTATGCATCAGACTCTGCTGGGATTGTTGGTGAGTGCTTAGCTGTTATGGCTTTTGAGTGTGCCAGATATCAAGTTGACTTCATCGCAGGTGATGGAAACAAGGCATGCTATTACAGCACACCAAAATCTCCAGGTGTCCCTACATATCAACACAGCCTTATCCAATTCTGGATTAACAGAATGGTAGGTGTTGCAACACAAGCCATGCGCAAGAATTGTGATCCAACTTGCCCTCCAATCAGGGTCAAGCATTTCATTTCTTGCAGTTATCGTGACTTGGATTTTCTTGCAACGCACTTGGATGGCATTACAACAGCAACATACACCGACGAGCTCATGAACAAGACAAATGGTAAAGGTGATTGTTGTATGTTAACAGTTGTTGAGTGGGGTCATTCACGTTTGATGTGTGAGGAACACCCAGAAGACTTTGAGGATGAAGATCACATGAACTATGTGGGTGAATTTTACTTCAAGGTAAATGAAACTTGTTTACATGGTGATCACAACATCTTCATGGTTGCCCCAAATGATCGCGATGCTCATAATCCAATTCTTATCCATCTTGATCCTTCTGATATGTCATGGAATGAACGACATCATTACAAACAGGCCTACAAGAAGAAGCAGTATGCTGATTCAAGAAAGGAAAGACAGAAGGAGAAAAAGAGAAAGGCATATGAAGATCAAGCATCGACGTATCAGGGCAACACAGAGTGGGGTGGATCCTCATCTTCAGCGTCCAGACCATGGAGATCAAGTGAGTGGCGATGAGTGAGTGTACACTTCTTAAATTGAAGATAACACAGCATGAGAAGCCGTGTACAGTTTTTCTGTGCGTTCAACTTATTTCACACAGATGGCATATACTCTTTTAGATAGAGATAATGCCACAAGTGTCTGAACTTCAATTTAATGTAAAATAGAGACTCTTGTAAATAGAGATACTATATACATTTATCTCCATGAATCATCCGGCGAGCAGACCACTCCGAATGGAGCGAACTTCAAAAATTTACCAATTTCAGTCCATTGTTTGCTTGAATGAGCAACTTTGGAGATCCGCTATTTCCGTGTATTTCGTGATTTGGTCAATTGTTTTCGTATGACCTGAATTTCTGAATCTTGCGAACCCGAACTTTTCAATTCGAACTTTCACCGGTAGAGCGAGGCATTTTGCCTGTGGAGAGACCGTGCGCGAAGCACCATTGGTCACTACTGGAAAAATTAGCGAATCCGCTGTTCTTTTTCGACATGTCCTTAGGACATTCGCTGCTTTCACGTGTTTTTCAATTCGAAGCCACTGCGTAACTCCGGTTTCTTTTGCTATTTGCCATTGTGTAGAGAAGTCAGGAAGATACTCTTAATACCAATTGGGTACGGCAAGGCGTAGTGCTCTACTCATTGCTTTTGAATTTGTGCCTGTGTTTTTGTTTCGACCTAATACCTACATAGGTACATGCATGAGTATTGAGCACATTTATATGCGCCCTTCAAGGCTCAAGAAAGAGGTATATAGAGTAACCCTGTAGACAAGCACTGACCGGCAACAGGCTGAGAGTAAAAGAGTGCTGTCATTGGGGAAGACGCCTTAGCTGATCTTGAAGTAGACGCTAGGGCCCCTCTTCAGCCCTCCCCCCAATCCCCCCCTCCCGTTTTTTTTAATTTAAACTTAAACCCAAGTTACATTAGTTGGTTTTTGCGAACTAACCTTCTCTGGAAAGCTGACAGGATTACATGTGATAGATAGATAGATAGATAGATAGATAGCTGGATGATAGATAGCTTGGTAGATAGATAGCTAGATAGATAGATAGCCAGCTAGATAGATAGATAGCTAGAGAGATAGATAGCTAGATACCTCGATAGATAGATGGCTAGATAGATAGCTAGATAGATAGATGGCTAGATAGATGGCTAGCTAGCTAGATAGATAAAGAGGTAGCTAGATAGATAAAGAGGTAGCTAGATAGATAGATAGATAGATAGATAGATAGCTAAATAGATAGGTAGATAGTTAGCTAGATAGATAGATAGCTAGATAGATAACTCGATAGCTAGATAGCTGGATAGACAGCTGGATGGCTAGATAGATAGATAGCTAGATAGATAGAAAGCTAGATAGCTAGATAGCTAGGTAGATAGTTAGCTAGATAGCTAGATAGGTAGATAGATAGCTAGCAAGATAGCTAGCTAGATAGGTAGATAGATAGCTAGATAGATAGATAGCTTGCTAGATAGATAGCTAGCTTGCTAGATAGATAGCTAGCTAGATAGCTAGATAGCTAGCTAGCTGGATAGATAGCTAGCGCCCTCCCTCAATCCCCCCCACCCGCTTTTTATCTAATCCCAAGCTTCCGCATCTGTAAATATTTGGGTGAACATGCTCACATGTAGAACATCCCATGCAAAATGGAAGGTGAACATGCCAAAATGTGGCAAATACCATACAAAATGGAAGGTGAACATGCCCACATGTAGGAAATCCCATGCAAAATGGAAGGTGAACATGCCAAAATGTGGCAAATACCATACAAAATGGAAGGTGAACATGCCCACATGTAGAAATCCCATGCAAAATGGAAGGTGAACATGCCAAAATGTGGCAAATACCATACAAAATGGAAGGTGAACATGCCCACATGTAGGAAATCCCATGCAAAATGGAAGGTGAACATGCCAAAATGTGGCAAATACCATACAAAATGGAAGGTGAACATGCCCACATGTAGGAAATCCCATGCAAAATGGAAGGTGAACATGCCAAAATGTGGCAAATACGATACAAAATGGAAGGTGAACATGCCCACATGTAGAACATCCCATGCAAAATGGAAGGTGAACATGCCAAAATGTGGCAAATACCATACAAAATGGAAGGTGCACATGCACACATGTAGGAAATCCCATGCAAAATGGAAGGTGAACATGCCAAAATGTGGCAAATACCATACAAAATGGAAGGTGAACATGCCCACATGTAGTAAATCCCATGCAAAATGGAAGGTGAACATGCCAAAATGTGGCAAATACCATGCAAAATGACAAATTCAAGTTCCAAACCGTTGCAAACACTAGGCAAATGGTACCAGCCAAGAAATCCAAAAAAAAATCCCAAACCTGCTCAAAAAAAAAATCCTAAAACTATTTCACACCCATTGGAGCCCAGCATGCTGGCTGGCCCGAGAAGTAAATTTCATTGAACATATTGAACTGTCTGCGCATTCCCGAGGTATGGCTCATGGAAATATATGAGAATCATGAGATCAAGATGCAATCAGAAATTACCCTCTGGTAAATTAACATAGCCATTGAAAATGGCCATTTATAGTGGATTTACCCATAAAAAATGGTGATTTTCCATAGCTATGTTAGTTTACCAGAGGGTATCGGATTATAATCAGAATGCAGTCAGAAGAGAAAGAGAATCGACCTGAAGTTTTGTGTTCGCCAGTTGCGAGGGGATCGAAGAAATGTAGCAACTTCGTCTTAAATCCCCGAGAGAAAGTGCCCCAACGCTTTGGGGAGCGTTAGTCGAACCGTGAACCAGGTATTTGGCAACCAAAATCATGTCAAATATGTCAATGAAAATGAGGCCAGGCTTGCACGAAACAGCACCATTAGAATTCATGGCATCGCCGACCCATGTCTCAGGAGGCTGGAGTTGTGATGAGCAGCTGTGTGATGTTTCGACTAAGTGGTAACAAGTCGAAAATTGCACCATTTAAGCGGCATATGGCCATACTCACCACACAAGTGGCATTCATGCCCATACTATCCCATAGTCATTTTTGCAATTGTTTCCGCCTCGGTTGTTGGATCAGTTTCCAAGTTGTTTTCTCATGACCGCTCCAAAGCCATACGGCTATAGCCACGATGCAGCGTTTATTCCAAGTTTTTTGAGGTTTCGCTATTCTTGTGCCACCTGTCTCCGTGTAAAGGAGTGCCTGCTCCACGGAAGACTCGCATAGTTGGGCATGAGGCAACGGAGTTGTTCTGCACAGACACAAATCAAAGCAAGTTTGCCATAGTTTTCCTTAATTCACTTGATTCTTCATGTGTTTTGAGAGTTGTTCTATTTTTTCTCCGCTCTTGGCATTGATTTTCCTTGAACAAGTGACAATTCCTCACTACTCGAAGTGCGTGTTTTGGTCTTCAGATGACAATGCACAAGTCGGAGCTCCTCATGGCCCACTGGCTATTGTTTGAGGTCTCGAGGAACAGAGCGAGAAACTCCAGGTGTGGAACAGAGCATTGCCATAGGCCGTCGCAAAATCTTACATTCAATGGATTGGTTTCAGGGAAAATCTACAGGAAACCATGGTTTTTACCATCAAATATAGGGGTTTCCTGTAAATTTTCCCATCATCCAATTCTATGATACATGCAGTCTAGCAGTCTAGCAAGCCATGTGTTTTGCACAGCTTGTAACTTCTGCGAGGTTGACCAAGACACAGATTGCGAAATTGGTTGGTGCCTCAAATTCACATCATTCACATCATTCACATCATTCACATGCAGGAAGCTGAGTTGAGACGGGCGCTCTGTCAGAGGCGAAAGAAGAATGCGACCAGCTGATGTGCTCCGTGTCAAGGCGGGACCAGTGGGGATGATCGTAATTTCACTCTTTCGATTTCGTTATTTCAACCTCCCTACATCTCCCTACCATTTCAGCATTTCTAGTCATCAGGGATAGCCGGATAGCCTAGCTTCCACCCTGGAAGCTGGTGAGATGTGGCAGATCTGCCGTGCCATCCGCCATCCGCCAGTATCTACAGCCCTGCAGAGCTTGAAGGGGTGCAGAAAGAGGTGAGCGGATGGGCCCCGGTGGGTTATTTAGGTTATTTGGATCGACATGGTTTGAGTTTCCTTCGTCGGCTGCCTTGAGAATTGTAGCAAAGATTACAAAGGCCCTGCTGTTTGATTGAATTCCTGGGAGAATAGCTAGCTTTTCGATGGCCAGAGTATCATTTCGATTGCGCATCACTCTCTTACTCAATTTTTTGCGACAGTTCTCGAATGCAGGCACTTGAGTTTGAGCCCGGGCTACTTAGAGACTTAGAGCTCTCTTTATGGCTTCCTGTGATGATTTGTGACGCTATCCCACAGGCTGTGACAACTCAGTCAGATGATGACCACCTGATGCGTCGATCTTCGTCGCTGAGGCCTGACTGCATGCCACGAGATGACCCGCAGCGTCCACATCCTCCTGAAGACCATGCTCCTCTGGAGGATCGGGTTCACAGCACTGGTCTGCCATGGAATCGCACGGGAATGAGCATCCGGTTTTTCTCGGCCAGTCATGATACCCTCTGTTAATTTAACATAGCTATTGAAAATCACCATTTTTAATGGGAAAATTCACTATAAATGGTGATTTTCCATAGTTATGTTAAATTACCAGAGGGTAGTCATGCGGCTATGAGTCACGTTGGAACAGTTTTCCCTGTCGTAAGTCTTCTCCAATCTGGCAGAAGTTGGTGTTGTAAGTCGGTCGAAATGGACGTTGCTGGATCATCCGATATTATTCACAGAACTTTCACACAACTTGCATCATTTATCATTTGTACCCTCTGGTAATTTAACAGTTTAACATAGCTATGGAAAATCACCATGATTAATGGGAAAATCTACATTTCTATGGTCATTTTCAATAGCTATTTTGACATAACCAGAGGGTATATCAATGGCCATTTCAGGAACCTAAATTGGAGGTACCTACCATATATAAGGCCTATATAAGGGCTAAATTTCAGGGGATATCCCCCCAAAATATGGCCTTATATGATGGTACAGCACCTCCATTTTAGGATCCTGGAATTCCCATTGAGTATAGCTATGTTTCAGCCTGCAGGATTTCCAGCGGCTTCGCCTTCTAGACGGCCTGGACGGAGTGTATGAAACCGAGGATAGCCATGGCATTTTTGCAGTCAGACAGGTTAGCAGGACTGCTAGGTCCTGCTAGGTGATTCTTACTGTGCTACTAATGTGCTACTAGGATCTACTAGGGCTAGAGACGTATCTAGATGTCAGTGATTCCACTCTTGGTCGATTCTGGAGTTGCAGCCCATTTAAATCTGTGGAAATCACATATCTGCAAGCTGCATATTCTTGAGGCTCAATAGCGGTCGAGGAAAAATTGATAATTGGCTTGTCACTCAGCCGGCGGAGCTTGCAGATGTATGCCGCGTTTGGTGCGTTTGGTGCAGCGACCCGATCCTGTTGACAGCGTGCCATGTCATCAGTCTGCATACTGCTCTTTTTGGGCTGGTACTTGGCCAATCTTGCATAGTCAGACCATTTGTCTATACAGATCTGTGCAGCTCAGGCTTGACAACCTTAAAACGCAGGAGAGGCAAGAACAACTTCAGGAGATCGACGAATGGTCTTAGACTCAAATGACAAGACCCAGCTTTCCCAGCTTTGATGCAATCCCATACGCACATAGATTGTTCAACATCCAGAGCACCAGAAGAGATGCGATGGTGCTGTGTCGGCCATGTGTGCGAGCAAACAGATCAAGTAGACCTTTGAAGCGCAACGTGAGCAGCTTGTTGCGATCTCTATATAGTGCACAGCCTTGCCAGTGCCTGAACCAGCAAGCAACATCCCTGACATCACCGCCTCTATATATCAAACATATCAACGGCCTTGGATGCAAAGCGATGCAAAGCAGTAGGACCATGGCTGTTCCTACGTGGAAGAACCCTATGCGCGTGACCTATGCTATGTGATATATATCAATGTATCAATATATATATACTGTATCAATATAATATATCAATATCAATATCAATATATATATATATATCGATATATGCTTCGAGTCTTGGACCAATCTGGGTGACGCCGCAAGCCAGGTTTGTCCAATTCCAGGACAAGGGACCAGAGCTGGCCGGACACTTGGCAGGACATGGCAAGGACTCCGGGAGCGCTTTGCTCCAATCAGAAAATGTCGCAGCGCCTGGCAAACATTTCTTGGACATGGCAGACAACAGTAGTAAGCAGTTTCAACATCTTGGAAGACGAGAAAGTCTTAAGCTGCCGGCGAGGGTGAAGTGCTTCAAGAATTCTAAGGTCAGCTTCTTCCGCAATTGCGAGACCGAGGTCGAACAGGTTGCGACTGGGTGAGAAATCCTCTCCTAGTTTATTCTTACCTAATTTTCATGCGTCGGACCCACACCATCATTTTGCAGTGAATGTCATTTTTTTTCAAGATTGCGCGTGCCATGTGAGAGCTTGACAACAACTGGTTGGTGGTTTGCCAATCTGACGAACTCATACAGTATTTTTCAGGGGGATAGGTCAACCACCAATTAGACAAGGTATAGCCAGGTATATCACAGAATTGGATGACGGGAAAATTTTAACCGGAAACCCCTATATTTGATGGTAAAAACATGTAAAAACCATGGTTTCCTGTAGATTTTCCCTTTTTCACCAATCCATTGAGTATAGCTATTGGTTTCTCGTTCCACCTTGACGTTCGCAGGGCCGAGTCTTGTGCCAGAGATCTGAAAACTTGGTGAACAAGCTCACGCAGGCGCTTGAACCATCAAAACTACCCTCTGGTTATGTCAACAAGTTTGCTATTGGAAATGGCCATAGAAATAGTGGATTTTCCCATTAAAAATGGTGGATCTTTCCATAGTTATGTAAACGTTTACCAGAGGGTACCATCTTGCTGCTTCCATCTGCTTTTTTTTATTTGTGCGAAATTTCTGGGAGTGTCTGACCTTCATGTCACAGCGCTGGTTTTAACAGTAGCCACATGTAGTGACCTCCATGTAGCCACCATCGATCGATTTTTCGATGGCACGTAGCTGGTAGCAGTTCCACATCCACCAGTTCCACCAGTGACCGATGCAGGAAACAGCTCACACTCGGCAAGAGGCGATCGTCACATCTCTGGAATCAGAGGGCATGACTATGACTCTTTGATGTACCCTCTGGTTATGTCAACAGTTTGCTATTGAAAATGACAATTTATAGTGGATTTTCCCATTAAACATGGTGATTTTCCATAGTTATGTTAGTTTGCCAGAGGGTACCCCTGGGCTACCTTGGTTCTTTGAAGTTTTTGGCGGAAGCTGTGGATATTTCAAGGGGAGCATTGGGCCAAGCTTACCTGAAAAGAGGCCTACTGTAAACTGTGAGGCGAACCCGTCCGTGTACATCTTTTTTCTAGAGTGAGGGTGGATTCCCACCGGAACTTGCCATTCAAGCATGCCGGCAGGTTACCGAATTTGTTGACCACAAGCTCAAGCCGATGGCAGGCAGGCTCATTCAAACCACAAGTTCTTATCAATTCTTATCAAGACATGTAGGGAGAGAACATGGGGGAAGCAGGCTTTATGTGTGAATTAGTTGTGTCGACTCCTGTGCGTGTTGGTGACTCACACGTGGTCATATGGATACAAACTCTACAGATGCTAGGCTGGTGCACTGCATTTCATAGCTACATGCTAAATCGCATCGTGATGGTTTGAAGCTTCCCGGATCTTCCCAGTTGCACAGGTGGTGGGCAGGGTGGCATGGTCCATGCAATTGAAAAGAAGCGGATGATCGCGTCGGGGGCCTGGGGAAGGGATTGAAGCACACAGTGTGACACACGTTCAGAGGGGAAACTTCAAAAAAGTCCTGGCTAAGGCAAATGAATCATGATCATGCACGACTTGTCCGGAAGCCCTGAGATGAAGTTGGCGTTCTCACAGTTTCTTGGGAAGTGCATGATATGGCCAGAAGTTTCTGCAAAGCAGTGCCAGTCACTGCTAGTCACGTTCATATTAAATTCATATTAATATATGTTCATTTTTTGCGTACGCTGCGTATGCTGTGCCTCCTGGTAGTGAGCCTCATGCGGCATATGCTGCGCTTGGAGTAATTGGAGTCTTTGGAGTTTGACTGAAATGCTGAGGGCTATGAGACTGTGGAGCAGCAGATCCAGGTGTGACATGTTTGGTGACATTTTTGGCATTTTTTGGCCTTGGGGTTCATTGATGTTCGTAATGTCTTGGCTACTGTAGCTATATGTAGCTATCTCTGAACGCGATTGGATTGGTTGGGTAAGCTCATCTGACTCATCTGTGATCGGTGCTGCTAGCGACTAACAACATTTGCATCCTGCTATTGCTTCTCATGTTCAGTTCTTTTATGTTGTTTCCCGATCCACAGCTCGAACGACCCGTACAGCCCTTGCTGCATCAGGAAGTTGACGCAGCTGCAGCCCTAGATACTGAGCTTCGCTTGTACGTGCCTGGCCAGATGCAATCAATCCCTTGATAATACAATGTTTGATACACACCTTGGAATTGAGGCGCTCGAGCAAGTAAAGCAAGACTTTTACGATTTCCGCCTCAGCCGGATGAGGATGCAGCAGGCCCCAAGTCCTTCGGTTTTCTGGCCTTTTGGCCTTTTGGCAAAGCACATTGGATGGGCAATGATCGGTACCATTCGGTACCACTCCTCTCACACAAGGAAATGATAGGAAATGCAGGCTCCGTTGTTGACCCTTTTGATTTGCTATGACAAGATCTAGCAGAGCCATACAGTCCAGCCATCCGTTTCGTTCACTGCTTCAGTGTTCCTCGTGAATGCTGAATGTGGCGTCCATGTCTGTCAGCCAATTTGCTTGAATTCTGTAGGATGGAAGGGTCACGTGGCTTCCGACATATTGAAATTTCGGAAATGGCCTTTGGGAGGTGACAGATGCTTTCTTTTCTTCATATTCTTCTTACTATGCGCCCTGCGTCGCCCTGCGTCGCCCTGCGTTCCATGTTCCTTTGATCCAATCTCCATGAGTTGCAGGCTGAGCAGGATGACATTCATGAATTGCAGAACGATATCGAGAAGAGGCAGGTGATTTCACCAAGCATCCAACAGCAAGGCGACGTGCGCAGTACGGATCTTTACAGTATCGAATAGAATCTGGACTTCCTACACTATGGTAGTTGGCCTTTCCTGAACACGTTTTGACTTCATCTCAAAGAGGTCGGTTCTGATGGAAGCTTGTTTGACCGTGCACCTTAGCCATTTGGAATCGAGTATTCCGGGTCCCGCCAGCCACTGAGTCACGTAAGCTTGTTGTGAGTAGACCTTTGCCCACTGGCTGGTTGATTAGTAGAGGGCTCCCTCCATCCAAGGACCAATATGAACCGTTTTTCACTGGCCCCTCTATTTTCCCTAATAGGACACAGCAAGGTGAGCCTTGCTTAGGAAGTCAGCGCCATAGCCATCTGTAGATCGGTGAGTGCACCGTTAAACCTTCTTCCCGCTCATGCAGAATAGAATAGTGAATCAAATGGAGCTGCCGCATGGCGGGCGTGCTGCCAAGGAAGGGCCCACGAGCCGTTGAGCTGCACCATATATATAATTTATATAATCCATGTGTGTATATATATATACAATGACCATATGTTACAATGACAATCGATCACGATAGGTGATTGATGGGCAAACAGGCAGCCAATATGCGTTTGGCCGTTTGGCACTACAGTGTACGTTTCCTTCAGGAAGCCCGTGCGCTATTTTCGAAGGTTGGACGGGCAACGTGTCGGGGAGATCCAACCAGCGTTCGCGTCTTTGTGCAGATATTGGCCAGTGTGACTGGCCTGGCAAAGTTCCATATATTTCCATATGTTCTATAGAAATCCATCTTTCATATTTTTTCTGCGTTTTTTTTCTCCCCTCTCCAGTACATCTATATAGCTGACAGGCTACGTGATAGGCTGAAAATAGAGGACGATTATATAGGACCATTTTGCCAAAGGAAGTTTGCTTCGTTTGCTCAGTTTGTTCAGGCCACACGGAGGCTACCTTTGTTTGGCGGATGCAGACATTGCCGAATGGTCTGGAGAGGCGGCCCACAGAAGCCCACAGAATCCCGATAAAAAGCATTCCCTACCGTACCTAGCGATATCAAGATAGCATAAGATAGCCAAGACCATGTAGCCAAACACTGCGTAGCTTGGACTTTTGACGATTTGACTTCAACCCATCCTTAATTAATTTTTCCCCAAAGTGGGTGTCACCACTCCTGGTTGCTCTCCAAGTGTATTTGGAAAGTCTTCGGCTCCAATCTCTCCGTTTGCTGTGTTGAACACTCGTCTCCTTTCTGATTTCAATATCTCCAATATCTCGACGCGGTCCTGTCACCTGCTGATTCAGAGGGCTGTGCAGGCAGTGCAGGGTGAATGTTTCCTAAGGATGGACCGGGATGGACATGTGACATGCTGTACCTTGGGAAGTGGAGATGTTTTTTCTAAACAAAAAAGGGTCAGTGTTAAAGACAAGTCTACTCCCAGAGTTTGTCGGGTTCATCCTGGTTCTTAGACTTGATTGGGAGTAGGATTTCTATCCACCCCAGGTGTCCCCTCAGAAATTCCAGGTGTTGGCTACAAGTGCCAGCCGGCACTTGGAGGGGACGCTCCGGAGGAATTGGCAGACCCGGCATTTGTTTTCAGGCTCATCATTAGGGTCGGTCCCGAGAGAATCCAAGAGGACCCAACTATTTCCCGGTTGTGCCATGACTGTGACCGTGACTGTGAGAGTAAAAAGGGCAATATGATTCATCGGCAATTTCAGACGATGTTGCTGGTGTCGCTGGTGACACTGGCGATACTATTGTGGTCATAGTGGCCGTTTGATGATTAGGGTAGAGGAGGGGGGAGACAAGTCTGCCACCAATGGCACAGTGATGCCAATGGTTTTTCTGATGAAGATGCTGGTGCTGCTGCTGCAGCTGCTGCGGCCAAAGGACGACGATAAAAAGACAATCGTCATTGCCATAGCACCTAGCAGAAGCAGGGGCTAGCACTTCCAGCCCTGACGACGAAGAGAAAGCTCCAGAGACTTTGGAGAAAGCCCCTCAAACTTTTTTCCCCTCGCGCACTTTTGTCTTCTTGTTTGAGCTACGTTGCTGTTCCCATTCGCAGCTGCCCAATGCCAGGTGGGGCTTTGCCGGCCGCAAGAGTGCAGATGCTTCTCTCCATGAGAAGGCACTACATGTATCTACCTGCTTCAGCTGAAGTCGTGAATTGAAAGAAGCGGACAACATCACATCACTTCATGCTTCCGAACTTGCAGCCAGAATTCCAAAGCAGTGTATATGTGCATATATATATAATATCTCGGTTGGGTGGTTTGGAAATGTTTGGAACATTTTTATTTCTCCATATATTGGGAATAATAATCCCAACTGACAAATATTTTTCAGAGGGTTGAAACCACCAACCAGAAATAAATTATATAGTTGTTGCATGTCATGGATGCTATTGTTATGTGGAATATTTCGGAATAATGCTAGATGAATATATAGGATGTAGATTTTATTTGCTGGAATGCTTGCACAACACACCACAAGGGAATGCCGAATTGTATGTCATGTGCAAACCCAGCACATGCGTAGAAGCATCTCATGACCGTGTGCAAGTCCCATTTAATGTGAAGCCAATAGAAGGTGTACAAATGTGGTGGAGGTGCAAGCGCTCCAAATTTCGTAAGGGAGATATCAGTGATCTCGAGGTACAAATGATCCAAATTCGGAGACGCAAGTCATCCGCTTGCCTGCAAACGAAGCAAAAGAAAACAAACAAGGAAACAAAAAAAGAGCGGAAGGAAGAAATGACATAACAAAGAAGAAAATGAAAGAACACCTGCAACCCGGTCATTTCAAGCATATTTACTCGTTCATGTTTCTGAGCGTGAGCACGTGCATTCACTTTCGCATGTGCATCGCGTTCAGCAGCCATAGTGGCCCCTTCCGAACGCCTTTGGACTGTCGACATCCACCACCTTTTGCCACCAAGGCAGGGCCAGAATTACTGGCTGCCTGCCGGGCCCAGGCTCAAAGAGTTCTCTGAGCATATTGGTCTTCCAATTCCCCAGCCTTAGACTGCTTGGACTGCTTGGACATTGGTTTCAGAATCGGTTTCTGGAGGCGTCATCCTTGGGCTTTGGCGAGGTGCTTGTGACTTCGGCACCCAACCTCAAGGTCGGTCAAAGCAATAGGATCACCCTGCAAAAAGCAGACGGCATGTTACTGCCGTCAGCATTTCTCTGAATCAGGCCCGCTACGTTCTGCACACCGTTGTTCCAGGCACATCGTTTCATAAAAAGGTGGAATTTTGAATTTTCAACTGCGGAACCAGGATGCAAGTCCGAATACCTTACAATTTATCCCCCACGAAATGTTCCCACTATTCCTGTTGCCACCCATTTGCCACAGCCTATTCCTTCGTGGCATGTCTTTTGTGCAGGGCACCCAAGCTCGAGAGATCCACGGCCCATGCCAGTGGACCGTGCAGCTGTGTGGTGGCCCAGCGGCCCAGTTTCCAGCACGTGCGGCAAGCATTTCACTCAACATTTGATCAACAGTGAAGAAAATCCTCCTGTATCAGATTTTAGATTTCTTCTCTTGGAGTTAGTTCAGGATGTTCAGGCTTTCATCTTGGGATTCTTTGCTTAATTGATCAGCATCCTTCAGGACTATGCTTCGGATGATGCTGAAGCAGAGCGGCTGCTGAGACAAAGCTTTGCAGGCCTCCACTACACCGCTGGAAGGCAATCATTGATTTCGGAACTCGTCTGACAAGATAAGAATCAAAGCATGACATGGTATGATTGATCATGATTGATCACGATTGATCACGATTGATGTTTTTGTAGAGTGCAAAGTTGTCTTAAAAACATGATTTTGCCCTTGCTTTGTAGAGTTTCTGCGCGGCTGTGGGCTCAGAGCTAGCGGATTGTAGCCCTGCCACCAGCCTCCAACCCTTATCGCCACTGCCCTTACTGCCCAAAAACCATGGCCACGCAACGTGAAGTGATCGGATTGGTGGCTTCAGATACTTGGCGAACAAAATCGCAATCCGATGGATGCCCGAAGCGCCAGGAATTCCCACACAGTCATGGCAAAGTCATGGCAAAGTCATCACATTTGTGTGCAAGGAGTGCAACTCCTTTGCTGAGCAGTTCTTCGCAGCACCCTGGCGCCAAGGTCAATATGATCAATGCATTCCGAAAAATCATAGGATTTTTGAGGTGTGGCTGTAATAATGTAATCCGTCATCCAATGATCCAAGTTGTAGTGACTCTCTCCGAGGCAAACTGCCATCGCTTTTCTGATCTTGAGGGCCCGGATGTTGCCAAGACCGAGCAGAAAGCGGAATGGCCAGAGACCCCAGAAGTGGCGATGGAACCATTTTGAACACAACCAGGAGAACAACCGCAGGTCTCAGCAGCATTACAGTAGCACATAGTAGCACCAGAGGCCACAGCAATAGCAACTACGACACACAGAGACGCAATGACCACAGCGATCCCAGTTCATCCCAAATGGAGAAGATCCTATAACGTAGCATCCAGAGTGTGTGTGTGTGTGTGCGCATGTAGGCAGGAACGTTATCACACCCCACTCACCCTGCAACCGCCCACCCCCCCTCATTGCAAACGTGACAACAGTCCCGCAAAATTGGAGGCGCCGTCACCTAGAGGATCACTCATGCAACAGTCATACACGGTGTATACATTCATTTACAAATAAAGGTTGTCCCCGTTGTCCCCCAGCAGTTGCGCCAAAGCGACAAAGCGTCGCGTGGCGAGGATAAAGAAATCCATAGGAAGTCAAGGCACCAAGCCTCATCAGGTTTCCATTCTTAACATCCAGCATGTCTTTGTCCATTGTCCATCCCTGTTTTCAGGTTCGACGTTTTCAAGCGCTTTGAGGCTGAGGCTGAGCTGACAATGCAAAATGTCTCTCGGCATCAATTGCAACCCGTGTAGAATTGTGGGATGACATCCCTTTTGAGGAGTACATGACAGTTTTACATGACAGTTTTGTATGCCACCTACAACAAAAAGGTGAAAACCTGGCGGTTCTCCTGAAAACCACAACAAAAGATGAGCTGCAGATTGCGACGTGATAAACGTCCATGTTTCAAAACAGACGAAAGCGCCGCAAATCCACAGGCGCCGCAAGCATGTTCTAGCTATTTCTAGATGTTCAAGTCGGCATCCTCTTGGTCCAGTGTTTTCCAACATAACATGCACTCCACACGTGCCCTATCATCCTTATCGTCGGCAGGCCTTGTTCTTGTGGGGACTGGTGCAAGCAAAGACCTTTCAGGAAGAGTTTGTGGAGGAAGCAACTCAATGTGCTGCACCTTGGCCGCCTTGGCCGTTATTTCTGGATCGACTCCGTCGCTACCACGAGGCCGCCTCGGCCTGACAATTTCCCAAGGTCCTTGATGACTTTTTGTCACTCACAGACTACCCAGCCTTCGTGAAGCGCATGTACCGTGAGATACAGCAAAAGCGGGAGCAGGACCGAAGCGAGCCTGATTTCTGCAGGCAAGAGGCAGAGCTTAGAAGATTGGGGGTTGAATGAATCGTGTGCTGTGTCGACAATCAGTGAATCAGGACATATCGAGAAATGTGTTGGAAAGACTCAAAGAGGTAGCAAACAGTTCAGTCATCCCCAGTGAAAATAGTGAAAATAGTGAAAGGCCGCATTTTTGGCAAGAGCATTGTCCCTTTGAGTCACATTAGACTCATTCCAAACCTTGTGGCCAGGATCACTCATGCAAACGGTCCAAGCCTACTGAAGTTGAACTTGACAATATCAATGGCCTATTTTTTAGGCCTATGTTTCAGGGAATATCCCCACAATTCATATGGCCAGAAATATGGTACTAACGTACCAGTACCTCCATTTTAGGATCCTGAAATTCACATTGACAATATGAGATCGAGGACGCCAAGCTCGCTGAAGACAAGCCACGCCTTCGCAAGCGGCAGGACTCTCTCAGGCCATGTCCGAACGGCAGTCGGAAGGTACATTCTATGTCCCAGAACTCGAGTGCTTGTTTTGTCGATGTTTGAACACGTTGGAACGTTTTTTGATCAGGTCACTGCTTTTATATGCTTTCCTTTTCTTTCCTTTATCATCTTTATATTATTTTATGATCTTTAGATGAGTTTTGCTCAGGTTTGGCCTGCCGCCCTGTTGAGCGTAGTGAAGTAGCGATTTCAATTCACGGCAATTTCTCCCATGAGAGCGCTCTGAGAGTGGAAGTCGCACAAAGTCACGAAAGGTAGCCTAGGCTACCTGAGTTCCATGTACTTGAGTACTGAACAATCTTAACATGTATTGGTGTGAAGACATAGCATGACACGAAGTAGCAATAAGTAGCATCACGTCACATGGCGTGACAGGACATCACATGGCGTGATCACATATGATCTATGTACATATATAAATCATATATAATCAGATATACTTAAACATATTTCTGTGCGTGTAAATCTTACCTCAGCTTCACCATCTCCTTGAGACGGCGAGCTGAAAACCATGTAGCTTTAGGCCTCAGCGGTTTGATCCCCTGTTGATGTTCATGCCTATATCCCGATACATTAGGCCCATGTATAATGTAGACACACACACACACACATATATATATATAGACACATACATAGACATCTATCTGCAAAAATGCACATTATATATACGCATATTAAATTCTACAATCGTTTCTGCTTTACATTGGCACATGATCCACGCAAGGATGGGAGGGGCACGTTTCAAATCAAGGTTTGGGAACGCCGGGAAAATGCTGTGGCCGCCAGCAACAGATTGGCCCAGCAACAAGAAAAGACTGGTGGCAATGGAGGGTCAAATGTACGGCAACGTATTGTATAGGTGAATGATGTGAATGATGCTGTTTTGTCATGGCATATGCATGGTGCAATATGACCCGAATGAATCAAGGAAGAGGTGCTGCGCCGAGGTCTTTCTCTATGGATGAGTAAACTTGAAGCCATCATTGAACACACATTCGCCGAAAACTTGCGATGTGGGAGCCAAAATATGCGGCAACGGAAGCTGGCAAAATTCAGTGGCACAAATCGTCCGATCCAAGGATAAGTCTGATCTACGAATAATGCTATCCCTTGACAAGCTCTTTCTGGTTCTCTGGTTTGGTACTTTGAATGCGGAGTGGGAGCTTTGCAAAAACTGCCTCAACCGAGATGCATTTGGTGGGCACTTTTGCGGTTGTTTTTTTTGGGGGGGTCACCGCTCTGAGGCGGGCGTGCAAGGGTTCTTCGAACCGCTGCCTTCTTTGCCAGCATTTGACATGTTGCAAATGTTTACATGTACGTTGCAGATGCTCTCGCAGGTCCAACGGGGGGGTTGGCAGGTTGGGGGGGTGTAATAACGTCCCTGACGGCTTTAAGATGGTTGCACAAAATGGTCAAATTTTTGTGCGTTGCAGGTGGGGTAGTAATAATTGGCGCCATTTGACATGTTGCTGGTTTTGCATGTGCGTTGGAGATGCTCGCTGATGTTCAGCCGGGTGGCTGGGTGGGGGTAAGAACCTTCCTGACGATTTTGCGACCACTTGTGCGTTGAGGTTGACCAAAAGGTGGGGGTCGGGGGTGTCTCAATTCCAAACTGTTTCAAACTCATACTGTACGTGCGATGGCATTTTCGTTGGGACAACTCTTCATCAACTCTTCAAACCGAGAAACTGAAGAACCGAAGAAACAAATGAACACTTTGACAGCTGTTAGGATAAGAGCACATGTCACGCAAGCATAATTCATTGTAAGTTACAATATATGATGCTCATTCCTATCATTCCTGATTAAAACTCCAAAACCACAATGATTTTTTACACCCACGCCCGCCTCAAAGCACTCCCGCTGGTCCCGGTCATTTTTCCCACCATGCGAGGCGCTGCTTATGGGAACAGCTATTCAGAAAATCCAATATTCTGTTTGATCCTGGAACTTCTTTGCCGTGGAATGATACATGTAGATCACCATGGTGTGCAGTGAAGTTTACACATAGGATACACACATCGTACTCCTATGTTTTCAGCAACACATTTTTTGATGAATTTGTTGGGCACGACACTGCAACAGGTTGCAAGAGTCAGGTCCTTTAACCACGCCACTGGCCGCAGATCATTCCAACTCCACTCGAGCAGCAGATTTTCCACTTCTGCCCCACACCTGGCCAAGCTTTCGTCCCTCCCCTCAAGTTGCACAAAGTTGAACAAGTATCATACATCGTCTGTGATGGCCTTTCTGCCCTCTGCCGATGCCAACCTTTCGATGGCATTGATGTTGGGTCCTTGAGTCCCCAATGGCAATGCGCAATTCGTGCCAGGCCTGACACACCAATGGGAAATCTGGAGACTCAGCAGAAACTGTCTGAGTTGGATCAACGTTTGGCGGCTTTGGAGGACTGGTGTTTGTCCCGATGACGTCCCCACACGCTGATCCAGAGTTGCCAGAAGGTGATATGAACTACCCTCTGGTAATTTGTTACATAGCTATTGAAAATGACCATTCATAGTGGATTTTCCCATTAAAAATGGTGATTTTCCATAGTTATGTTAGTTTACCAGAGGGTAAGCAACTCATGACATTGGAAACCGTTCGTAGACTACTTGACCTTTGAGTTTTGAGTAGCGGATCACGTTTCAGTGACGTTTGGTGTGGACTGGGTGGTGATGGTGATGTTTCCAAGACGAACACCTAGCCACAAAACTCACTGAACTAGTCCAGTGGATGGAACACACACACACACAGATACATACATACACATGTATATATATATATATATTATTTACTATGTGAACATACATACATTACATTACATTACATGACATTACATTACATTACATTACATTACATTACATACATACATATTCGGTCATATACACACACATGTATATATATATATAATATGTGTGTGTGTGTTTGTCTGTGTGTGTAAGATATAGAAAATGTAGATTCAACGTAGATGATGTATATAGGAGCGCGTTGTTGTTTTTCTGTGCTGTCCTTGCTCTTATAGGGCCAGCCTCACCAGGCGGAGCGCAACTCGCTGTTGGTGGAGCGTCGCAAGCTGGTCGGTCGTGAGGCAATGACTTTGGAGCACTTGAAGGAGATGAATCAATCAAGATGATTCAAGATTTTGCGGTCCATCACTGACCAGGTTCATGCCACAACCAGTCAGACGCTGAAGCACCAGATTGAACTGCAGCGCTACAAGGAGGTGGGCAGCAATTCTCCAACAGCAGTTTGTGTTTTTTTTTGTACCCTCTGGTAATTTAACATAGCTATTGAAAATTGCCATTTATAGTGGATTTACCCATTAAAAATGGTGATTTTCCATAGCTATGTTAGTTTACCAGAGGGTAGCAAAATGTTCCAAGATGTTTCAAGATGGCACCGTTGGATCCGTTCAGGACGTGGGTCTGGATTGAGCAGCGATACGAATGGCTTTGTGTGACACGGGCAGCTTGTCAGATGAAGCTCACGTGGGTGGCACGTGATGGGTTTATGATGGGTTTATGAGACAGATCGCCTCTCCAGCCAAACGTTCTTAGGGAGAGGGGGATCGTGAAAGCAAACATCAGATGGCCATCATAAGTAAGTACTCATAGCATATTTTGCATCACATCACAGCATGTAGAGAGGCCGGATGCGTTTAGGACATCACCAGGGACGTTTGTGGTACTGAGAATTGTGGTGGGTATAGCTTTTGCCCTCTAACTCTAGATGCACGCTTTGGTTTCTTTGGGTTGCCGCTCACTAGACGAGGAACAACGCATTCAAATTCATGAACCATCATGAACCTTTGAATTGCTCCCTTTGAGCCAGTCGCTGATCGCTGATGAATTGGGTGTTTGGTTGCTTTCAGCTCAGGCAGCAGCAAGCGCCTACTTGAGAACTTGAGTCGTGCGGAAACTGCTAGCCCAGCTAGCTTCAGACCTTGCAGATCCTTGCAGAAAGTCTGTGTTTGCGATAGTTTTGTGCCAACGGAAGCACAATGAAGCACATATTCATAGAATTGGATGATGGGAAAATTTATAGGAAAACCCTATATTTGGTGGTAAAAACCATGGTTTCCTGTAGATTTTCCCTTAAACCAATCCATTGACATATTTTTTCCGAATGTGATGCACAGCAGAGATGTGCTGGGGGTCTGAGGCATGGACTCCATGTCCGATGTTTTGGGAACCATATAGATTCAAGGAAGGGGAGATTCATGTCCTGGTATAACAAACTTCACACATTTGTATATATATATATGTAATTTATTATATATAATATATATATATATTCATAATTTTTACATGACCTGACATGTCTCCTTTAGCGAAGTGTTGAGGATCTCCTCTGATTTTTGTTGGCATTCTGGTGATGGCATTTGTCTCATCATCAGACTCTCGAACTGGATCGTCAACCGAAAGGCGTTCTTTGCAAGTTGAGTGCTCTGGCACAAGAAGGGAGGCACAAGGGAGCAAAGCATTAGGCCATTTTAGTCATTTTAGTCGCATCATGTCATATCACAGTTTTCCTCTACGAAACCCAGTTTTGAAATTCGATTTTGCAAAGCCTGCGGACCTTGCTCTCCCGATTTCAGGGCAGTGTATGATCGAGTATCTAGGTTCCACAAATGTACAGCTTCCCAACGGTGTCTCAAGTTCTCGACAGGCACATGACTTTCAAGTTTTGCATCATAGACTTCAAGAATTTGGAGTGTTGATTGTTGAAACTTGGGGCTGCCAAACTACACGCGTTCTTTGAACTTTGTCTTCTTGGCTGCTATGGCAACCACTTTCAAGCCAATGCAGCTGTGACTGGATTGGATCCTGAATCAGAACAAAACATGTGCTTCGCTTTGATGTCAGGTCGATGCTTTTGACTTTGCAGCTTTCAGAGGGCTGTGCCCCCAAGCCATAAAAGTTAGACAGTATCATCAGTATCGTACTGCAGTGACATCTTCAAGTCCTGATGCAATGCAATCATTTATATTGGACACCTACAATGCACCTTTGCCCATTGTTGGCTTTCTCCTGGAAACAGCGAGGTTTGGTTGCCAAAACTGTGCAGCTCAATGCGAAGTCTCTCTGCCACTTGGCAAACAAACTAGACTTGATTAGAGACATTGAGCCGAATCTCAGTTTGAGTATGGGTCAATACCTATAGATACATTTTTAGTGGGATGAACATCCATAAATCCCAGCTATTTTGGGGTTCACTAGGTACCAGGGTTTTGACCCATCCCCAGTTTGGTTTTTGATGCTTTTTGATGGTTTTTGCTTTTGCGGAGCAAGACCCTTTTCAGCGAGGCTGTCCGGCCATTGGTTGCGGCATCAGAGGTGCTTGAGAAACCTTGGGAAAACGAGCCACAGCAAGAGAAGATGCCTTGGGCTGGTGTAAAGTGTAAAGTGTGCTGAGAGTTGCAGAATTTCAATCACAACTCTGACTCAGTTGCCAAGTCATACCAGAATATATAAGAAGCATCAAGAAAGATTTTGATATGTTTTGATGATTTTGATCTTTCTGAGACGTTGATTTAGAATGATGTAGATATGCAGCTGGGAAGGCTTTCCAGCTCCCTTGGCTGCTAAAGCAGGGCTTCACCACTTGGTGCCTGAGGCACGGGGGTGCGGACACGCTGAGTTTCATGTCGATTCATGTCGAGTACCGAAGTTCGAACACCCCGAGTGCCTGAGGTGCCTGCCCTTACCTGCCTTTATTTTGGTGGGGTGGTTGGTCAAAGTACAGCAAAGTACTAGAGTGATGTCCAGATAGTCAGGTGATGTCTCCTGCCAACAGGCAGAGTGTGCCGTAGCTCAAGCAGTGCCATATGTGGAGGTGCGATTCCTAGTTATCAGCTATCATTACTGATCCTTGTTTTCTGTCTGAGTTTGGGCGTTTGGCATGTTTGGCATGTTTGGCTTGTGAGGCCAAGATCGGCACAACTAGTCCTTGTGTGAAACCGCTGTCATCGACCCCTTGGCACCTAGTTTGGACTTCTATCAGCTCAGGTACGCTTCTGGGACACCAATGTCTTGAATGCGTGGACCGCGGAGGCGACAGCTGGTTTTTAAAACCATAACGATCAGCAACGCCAACTTGCTCCAAACTGCGAGAACTGGTTCATTTCATGTGCAAAAGACAAGAAGTATAATATATATATATACTGTATGTGTGTGTGTGCATGTATAAATATATATATATATATTAATATTATTATTATCATTATTATTAAAAGGTCTAGAGCACCAAGCTTGCAGTCTTCTTGTTGTTTTCAGAGGCACCGCATCATCGGAGTGCGTCACACGAGCATGATATTCAGAAACGAAGCTGCCTTGAGGCTTTTGAACGTGATCTTGAAGAGTGCGAGGACGCTTGGATTATGATGGATTATGTTGTTGTGAATGGTGGCAGTTGCGGATGGGAAAATGATGGACAGACGGCATCAGTGCCAAATCTTTGGTGCATGAGTGCCAAATCTTTGGTGCATGCTGCCTCGAAATGCCTCAAACCTTTTGGCAGGGTGAAAAGAGCCAAAAACGCCCAAATTTGAGTGACCATCTAGGAACAAGTCTTTGCCTTCTAGCGCGTCCAAAGTCCCTGAGGCCCTGAGTCAACATTCTTTCGAACGCAGCTCTAAATCCTTCCACAATCCTTCCAATATCGTTCCTACCCTGGGCTCTCATTTTGGCAAAATAAGGCGCTGCGAGATATTTTTTGATAAATAATAGGGCGAAATATTTTGTTTCGCTTTCAACGACTTTATCAGTGCAGGTTAAGATGTGATTCTCCAATGATTCGCTGACTGGATAAATAATATGTATTAATATGTAAGATCACTTGTCTCGCTATGTCAGATCTTGTCATTGCATCGTCTCCTTTTTTCGTTGCCGTTGGCCCGACGCACGCCAGATGCTTGTCATCCTGTGTGCTCCTGTGATCCCCAGTGCCTGTTTCTAAAGTTCCAAAGATGGGTCCCGTCAACAACGGAATTACGGAGCTTAGTCGCCTTTGCCACTAAGATATACTAAGCTCCTCATGTCCTCATTCCTCCTGGTCACTCCTTTCCGAAACAAGTCCCGCCACATCCACCTGTTTCAGTCTTTCCGCCTGTCTTCACATTGACCAACTGCGGCACCGCGGCTCCGCCGTTTCATGGGTCCAATGTCTCCAATTGCAAAGAAGAACGAAGACCTACAGGTCACCAGCCTACCACTCTCTGCTTTTGATGGCTTTTTCTTCGAGTTTTAACACATTTTTTTGATCGTTGGATCTGGTGAAACATACAGCAACCATTCCAGATCTCCGGCACCATCGTGGAACATTTTTTTTGGGAAGCCATGAGGAGGCACATTTCATCTTTGGTGGTTTTCTAGGGAAAATTTTTAACCGGAAACCCCGATCAATTTAATGGTAAAAAAAAACCATGGGTTTCCGGTTAAGATTTTCCCTAGATTTTCCCAACAAAACCAATCCAATGAACATTTCATCTTTGGTTCTTTGCCTCGGGGCAGTTTTCAACTGCATAAAAGGGGTGTCGCATCGGCCTGAACGCTGAGTCCGTTGAGTCTGCTGGACGGCTTTGAGTCGCGTCGGTTCAGCTCATGATATCTGCGTCAGAAACGCACTGTCAATTTTCTGAACTGAGTTGAAACTGCATTAGTTATCCTCTGGTTATTTAACATAGCCATGGAAAATGGCCCATTTATAGATGGTTTACCTATTAATAGCATGGTGATTTTCCATGGCTATGTTAAATAACCAGAGGGTATGTATCATTGGTTTATCCAAAAAATCTGGGAAACATGTTTTCCGGGATGATTTTTTTACTTAGGTTCCCGGAAGTGAACGGCTGCGCGGGAAGTGTTTTGCCACTGCCTGTGGCGCGTTTCTAGTTTTTCAGACCGTTTGATGGAAACCGGGTCTTGACGTACGCGCAAACTTGCGTAGATAGTATCATGCAATGGCCTGCAGTGTCAACTGCCTGTGGTGCTTAAAGTGCTTTGGTGTAGACAACTCCCAGCGTGGGAGTCGAAACCTTATCGTCAAAAGTGATGGAAAAACTGCCAACTTTCTATTGCTGTTTGGTGTCTGAGTCTATGCCAATGGTCCAATGTGTTTGCCACGCACGTTGCTTCTGGATGCTTCTGGTCTTCACATTTACTGCGATGTTGAGGCAATGTTGTTGGACCTGGTGAGCCTAAGTTGTCCCAGGACTTCTTGATCAGTGTTAGCCCAGAATCAAAATTTGAGCAAAAGCGTGCCCCAGTTCTTTAGCAAGAGCGACGGTGCTTATTTGCAATTGCTCACCGTGCATCTGTGCAGATCCAGAGTGCGCCCAGAACCCCTGGTGCTGGTGGATATCGTTTTGACATTTTTTCAAAGCCCAAACAAATCCGGAAACACATTTGGGAATCCATCCAAACCTGTCCTGGAACTTGGCAGATGGTGTGGGCGGATGTGGCAAGCAGATGTAAGCAGTCTGTTTGAATATGTTTGAATCGATCATTGCAAGTGCAGTTGAGGAGTGGCAGGCTGGTGGGGCTTTGCGACTGGTCTTTTGCGATTCATGCCTGGCATTTGCGACATGACGACGCAAGTTCGGGATTTCATGATGGAATTGAGGGCAACCAATCCATTTCAAAAATGCCTACCCTCTGGTAAACCAACATAGCTATTGAAAATGGCCATTTATAGTGGATTTACCCATTAAAAA